ATAAGTTGTATCAAATGGTTGATGATGAAAAAGAAATTATGAGTAGAGAAATAACATATTCAAGGTTAGAAGAATATTTTAATATACCAAAGTATCAACCCGACCAACCCGTACGGGTTGGCTTGGTTGGATTGGGTTAAGATTTTTCCAAACCGTAAACATTGGATTGAGTTGTTTAAATGTCCTCAACCCGATCAACTCAACTCATGAACACCCCTATATATATATATATAGAGAGAGAGAGATATATTAAAAGTTTAATATATAAAGATGTTTATTATTATTATTATTATAATATTAAAAACATGGTTTAGTGATTTTTTTAGGGGGAGGGTAATTGCATCGATGTCCTCACACTCCTAACTCTACTTTAATTATTATTATTTTATATTATATCCCAATTATTTTAAAATAACATTATTTATATCGATTTGATATTTTATGGATTTAAAGATGAGATAATTTCCAAATAATATACGCGAATGTCATTAGCACTTTGTTTTTTATTTGTGATTGAATTTGATTTTTGTTAGTATTTAATAAAATCCACCATTTTTAAATATTTTTAGTGTTGTTTTTTAATAATTTAGTTGGAGTTGCCTGGGAGATCCTCTAATGAGTACGAATTCCAAAAATTTCGAGGTTTTTATAAATAAAAATGTTGAATAATTGGGTATTTATTTTGTTGCTATATATCTGCTCCTAGTCATTTCTTTTGTCGACCGGTCTCACCCCACCACACACCACCGTACAATTCAACCCTCCTACTTCCATTGTTGATCCTTCATTCAAAGCTTCAAACCTCTTTATTTTCCGGATTCTCGATTGGACCACCAACCAATCTTCTATAGATTCTTCATGGAGCAGCCGGAGAACGACTCTTTAGCTTTGGAAACTGCTCAACAGATCATCCTCCGCTGGGATGCTACGTCTTCTGAAGACGCCAGGCTTAGAATGATCTTCGAAGGCGACCGTCAAGAGATCGATCGATACTTGCAGGCAGTCGATCAAATCCAACGTTCCATGGAGTCAACTACTCTCACGGAGGACGCCGGAGCTCAGAACCAATCGGAGAAAATCAACACCGCAGTCGAAATTGCCATGGCTCGACTTGAGGATGAGTTCCGCAACATACTCATCTCCCACGCTACTCCAATCGAAACCGACACACTCACTGACTCTATCTCATCAACTCACCTGACTCACAGAACCAGCACCTCCATTGGTGAGTTCCCTGGAAACGGCGATTATAGCAGCAGAGGCGAAGAAGATGCCATATCCAGAGAAGGTTCTTCTTCCTTATCGGATCGAGGAGAGAGCAGCAGGACAATCTCGAGTTACAGATCTATGAGTAGCATTCGCGAGCTAGATCTAATGCCTTCGGATAGCATATGTGATCTGCGCTCCATCGCCGAGCGTATGATCGCCGCCGGCTACTTAAAGGAGTGCGTTCAGGTGTATGGCGGTGTTCGGAAATCTGCGTTGGATGCTAGCTTCAAGAAGCTAGGTATCGAGAAACTAACCATCCGCGAAATCCAACGGCTGGAATGGGAAGCCTTGAATGCGAAGATCGGAAAATGGATTCGTGCCGCGAAAATGTGCATCAGAGTTTTGTTCGCAAGTGAGAAGAGACTCTGCGAGCAAATCTTCGAAGGTTTAGGGTCGGCGGCAGATGATGCTTGTTTCATGGAAACCGTTAAAGCTCCGGCGAATCAGCTCTTTAACTTCGCCGAAGGCATTAGTATTAGCCGAAGAGCTCCGGAGAAGCTATTCAAGATTTTGGATTTACACGACACCTTGTTCGATTTGTTGCCGGATATCGATGCTGTTTTCGACGGAAAATCAGCCGAATCATTCCGGCAACAAGCGGCGGAGATACTCTCCAGGCTCGCCGAGGCTGCTAGAGGGATGCTAAATGAGTTTGAAAATGCAGTCCTTCGAGAACCTTCTAGAGTTCCTGTCCCTGGAGGGACGATCCATCCATTAACTAGGTATGTAATGAATTACATAAGCTTGATTTCAGATTACAAACAAACCCTAGGAGAATTAATCGTGTCTAGACCTGCAACTGGATCTAGATACTCCGATGATCCAAGTACACCAGATATGGATTTTACCGATCATGAAGAACAATCACCATTAGCCCTCCATTTGATTTGGATAATAGTGATTTTGCAATTCAATTTAGAAGGAAAATCCAAGCATTATAAAGACAATTCCTTGGCTCATTTGTTCATCATGAACAATATTCATTACATTGTTCAAAAGATCAAAGGGTCACCGGAATTAAGGGAGATGATCGGAGATAACTATCTAAGGAAACTTACTGGGAAATTGAGACAATCTGCAACGAGCTACCAACGATCAACTTGGGTCGGAGTTTTGTATTGTTTGAGAGATGAAGGATTACATGTGAGTGGAAGCTTTTCTTCTGGGGTTTCAAAGAGTGCTTTGAGAGAAAGATTCAAATCGTTCAATGCCATGTTTGAGGAAGTTCACCGAACTCAGGCGTTATGGCTAATACCCGATACACAGCTTCGTGAAGAGCTTCGGATTTCCATATCGGAGAAACTAATCCCGGCTTACCGATCGTTTCTTGGGAGATTCAGAAGTCATATAGAAAGTGGGAGACACCCTGAAAACTATATAAAGTATTCTGTGGAAGATCTTGAGACAGCAGCGTTGGACTTGTTTGAAGGATTTGCGGTTTCGCAGCACTCGAGGAGAAGATCACAGTGATACAAATTCCGAAAGTAAGTGGTTAGAGTATTTTAGAACACCATTCTTTGATTATTTTTGTGGGGTGATTTGGTGATTGTGATGATAGAAGATGGATGAAGGGAAAGAAAGAGGCTCCTGATCGGTACTACTCCCCTGAAACTGTAAGGATGTTGTTTAAGATTAATTGTTTCACTTGTTTGTATGGGAACTCTTGTACATGTTTCTAAATTACACGAAAATTGCTATTTTTTGGACGCGGAATATAAATTGGATGACCTTCAATAACTTTTCTAAATCACTATGGTAGGTCTTGAAGGAATGTGGGTTTTGTGTTTGATGTAGAGTTCTAGAGTTTGGTAACATCAGAAAAGGAGGAGAAACACCACACCCACAATGTAATGTTGTAGGAAGTTCCACCTATAGAATCTATGACGAACGGGTTGTTTACTAAACACTTGGTCGTCTTTTACTGGTTAATTGAATACTTATTATTTCTTACCGAGTAAGAGATGATGGTCTTTATCAACAATCTTGAAGTGTGATTTTGCTAACTAAGGTACCTTACCGTAAGTGAGGGTGGTGATGTGGAATTTTTCTATGAAAAGGCATAAAATAAGAACAAGCTAGGCGTAAATCAATGGAAATAAGATATATCTTACCTGGTAGGTTATCCTGCTAGTGCTTAAGAGATGTTTATACTGTGCTATTTTGATGACTGGAAATATCACCAGGTGAAGTGAGTATAATGACTCTTAGCGAGCAAGTATATATAATGTCGATAAATGATTCTACATGGTCAACATGACTCATACTCAGGATGAGAAGGTAGTTGCAGTTGTGTGAATTGGGTGAGAGATAGGATCATGTATGGAGAAAATGATGGAGGGAATGGATGTTATTGTCTCTTCAACAAGCATTATATTCATCTACAATTACTTCATGAATGATGCCTTCCAGTCTACATCCATCAAGAACAGCAATCACATTCAAAACTCTACCAATTATTTATAAATTAATTATTAATTTATCCATAAATAAGTATTTATTATTTTAAACTGAGTTTTTCAATATAAAGTATATATTTTCCCTCCAACGTCTTTTTTCATTATTTGAAAAAAGCAACTTGTAAACAATAGTCATTTTAAGCACCTACTTGCAATAAATGAGCAAAAATTTCGGTAGTATGGCGTGCTATCTCCTAACATGCCCTTTCTAGAGGTCAAGGATTCCAATCTTACCAAAAGTTAAAAATATGTGTGAGCTCTATTTATTGTACATCTAAAAAATATTTAAAATATTGGTTGGTATGACTTGTTTATATTAATGAAAAACCAAAATTGCATGAATGATATTTGTTGTTGGGATTCTAAGCTCTGTTATATTAAAAAGAAGAGTAAATTAGGATTTTTGTTCTTGTGGTTTGTTAATAATTTTGATTTTTGTTTCTGAGGTTTAGAAATTATAATTTTTGTCCCTATAGTTCACAATTTATTGTTATTTTCGTCTCTAGTCTAGGTTAGTTTCTATCTTAAAGGATAAGGGACCAAAACATTAAAGAATTCTAAACCACAAGGAATGAAACAACAGACAAAAACAACAATGAATTACAAATCATAGGGATGTAAAAACATAATTTCTAAACCATAGGGACAAAATCACAATTTTTAACAAATAACAGGGATGAAAACTGTAATTTACTCTAAAAAACTTGCACCTCTTCTTTTTCTTTTTTCTTTCTTCTAACTTGCCATGAAAAGAAATCAAAGAACAAGGCAAAACTCATTTATCCAATTTCTCAATCTTACCAATCTAAATTTTTATATATTTTTAAATAAATTGAGGAAAATGAACAATCTTATAGCCTAAAATCTACAAGTTGAATAAAAGATCCAGGATGCAAATACTAAAAACATCTAGTTGATGCTAGTGTCCCCTAGAGGGTCTGAAGATGAAGCTGATTCTATTCAGGAATAAGATTAGGAAATTTTGCAAGTGAAAGAAAAGCCAAATAATACCTGGTTTATAGTTTACTCTGTTTTATCTTCTTCCAAATCTCCACCCAACGTTCCATCTTCGCTACCAGATGATCTTACTTCAGTCGGACTGCCAACGTCTTTTGTGGGAAGAGGGGATAGTTTCATCAACATCGAAATATCACCATCCTCAAACTCTTCACTTCCGTCATCAGAATACGCATATCTGTTCCATGAAATAAATCCCAAAATATCATGACCATCCCGAACGACTACTAAATCATAGACTATTTCTATTTTAACTCAATGACCTTCTCTAGGAACTCGTTTTGCAAAATGACCCTCTAGTGTATATCTTTTTACTGGAGCATATTGTTTTGAACTAGGGGCAGGTCAGACGAAGGTGTCATTGAGCTAAAAAATTTAAAAGTTTGTGCTTCTAATTGAGAACTCGTTTAGGGTGCGTTTGGTACATTGGATAGGACAAAATAGAACAGTGCATGGATCATTAATTCACATTTGGCAAGACTTTTATGTGGAATAGATAGATGAAACAAAGCTGAACAGGAGTGGTCCACCCCCACCCTATGGAACAAGGTGAAACAAACTTCAAAATAAAACATCAAATAGCGGCAATTGTGGCCTCTCGGGAGAATCGATGACTGCATCGACTTTTTAGAACAGGTCCGAGTCAAAAGTCTCATTTACATTTTATTCATTCTTTAAATATTATTAATTGTATTTGATGCTCTCTAAATTTTCACTTTACTATCCTCAAAATATTATTTTTATACGATTTATATATATTTTTATTAAATATTAATAATAAAAAATAATATAGAAAAAATATAAAATAAAGAGTGGAAACTACATAAACTTTTTTATTTTTCTAATTTTAATCGTTTTGACTAAACTTTCTAATGATATATTTTATTATAAAAAATATTTATTTTATTCAAATTTAATAAACTACATAAACTATATCAAAATATATAAACAACTCATTAGGGTAAATTGGTCATTTTATCTGTTTTGTCATGTCCAGTTCTGTCTTACCAAACGCTAAACAGCTGCGCTATTCTGTCCTGTCTAGATACCAAACACACCCTTATGGTTATTTGCCCAAATGACCCTTATTTATATCCAACATGAAATAGAGAAGCTTGATTCACAAGTGAATCTGTTTTCTTGGTGTTATCAAACAACATAAGAATGAACTGGAATTACATGTCAGAAATATCATATTCATAGTAAAAGATGGTGATTGCAAAATTATGCAGTTATGCATGATAGAATCCAACAAGTATAATGAAGCTATATCTTTCCCTTGAAAGACCTAGAAACAGTCAAATGACAGAAATAGGATTTTGTAAGAGTTTGGTTACGTTTCTTACCGCATTGAGTTTTGAGAAGGCGCCCAAAGAGCACAGATGACACAGAGAAGAGAGAACGATAAAACCTGCCAGAATGCAGGGATGATCCAAGCATTTTGCCACTGCTCATTGTATATATCGGTTGCCTTGAAATAAAGCTGATATAAAGATTCCGCAACATTGGGATTATTAGCTTCTATGGATGGAATTTTTTCACTTCCCAACTAAATTATAAGGAAAAAGTAGCTAATAAATTAACCATGGCCAAGGAACGTAATATATATCTAAGGGATAGTCACAGAATAACCAAAATCGGAGTTGATCCTATCACAAGATGACCAACTTTTTACAAATTAACACAAAATAACCACTAACTTCGCAAAAAGCATGAGCAAAAACCTTTTTTTTGGCGAACGGTACATTTTCAAATCCCTTCTGATTTGTGGGGCACACTTCGCAAAAAGGTGAGCAGAACCCTCTTTTTTGTGAAATTTTGAGTTTTACTCATGGCTTTTGAGAAGTGGGCCCACAACCCGAAAAATATGCCATTTTGTTCATAGTTTCGTAAAAGTGGGTTTTTCCTCATGGTTTTTGCGAAATAAGTGGTTATTTTGTGCTAATTTGGAGTAAGTTGGTCATTTTGTGATTGGTGAACTCCAATTTTTGGTTATTTTTCTGATTATCCCTATATCTGCCTGTTTATTATGGCTCACATTGCTTTACATCTTACGTTTTCATATCTGCGCTCTAATTTCAGTTCCTAGGAACTCAGCTACTGGAGAGAGTTTCCCAACAAAAATTTAAGCATAGCAAAATTATTACCTCATAGCATATCCAGCCTACAGACACAATGACAGCAACAGCCAAAGCATTTGTGAACTTCCTGTAAATATCTAGCTTCGCCATCATTCGCTTAGCCTGGCATATCATATAAGCCAATCAATCAAGTTACACAGTGCCTGAAATTATCAAATCTGGTGGTAGAATACACTGCATAATGTCAAATCTGGGAAGTGATCATTATTTGATAGCTAAATCTTAAGCACAATATAAGCCATGCAAACATATAAAATAGGCGAGAAAAACACGGTGGATCATGATGTCAAAATATTCCTTTCTGCACTCCATATATATGAACATGGAACTTTGGTTCAGGAATTGACCAAAGTATAAGATGGCTTGGCATAATTAAGTAGCAAAAATGTTCTATTCTGTTATTAGATTAAGAAAGACAAGTTATAAAGAGCAAGAACTAGTCAAAAAGTAGAAGGAAAAATGAGGTGCTAGAGTAAATCTTTAAGCTGGGAGCTCTTCAATCCCAATGAACACCTGAACATCACTTGCAGAAAGAACCCAAATAGATGGAAAAGTAATAACTTGTGCAAGCCAGCAGGTTTTCTGGAGCGGAGAACCCACATATGGTCTCTGAATACATGCATCTTTTCACACCCAAAATTTGCATAGCAACAGACTTGAATAGAGAGTCTTGAACCTTCCCATACCCAAATCCTAAGAGGCAACATTTCTGTTGAATCATTTGAAGATGAACCAGCTAAAGATCCTCAGAAAACCTACTAGTGAGCATGATACCACAAATCTCCATAGCCAAGTGAAAAAGTTGGAAAAAAGAGCCTTTAGAACTTCCAAAGTCGTAGACTCTTAAAGGGGCTGACCAGCAAAATAAACCCATATGAAACTTGAAGAATCCAAATTTTGGTGGCCGAAGGAAATAGGCAGGGCCTGCCCTGAGATTTTGGATGCCCACGGGCCACGGCGGAAAGTCAAAAAAATGCCCCTTATACGTGTAAATAAAAACAAAAATAAACTATTTGAAGTGTTTTGGAACCTAGTCAATCTAACAAAAAAGTGCCCCTTAAATATAACAAAAATGATGCAACGGGGGGGACATAAACCAAAACCCCGTGTAACAAAAGATAAAGTACATCACGGGGGGACATAAACCAAAACCCCGTGTAACAAAAGATAAAGTGCACCACGGGATGACATAAACCAAAACCCCGTGTAACAAAAGATAAAGTACATCACGGGGGGACATAAACCAAAACCCCGTGTAACAAAAGATAAAGTTCATCACGGGGGACATAAACCAGGAGCACAACTAAGTACACAAAATGATTAATAATCTCAGAGGATGTCCAAAGTATAACCAAATTAAGAGCCAGATCGGTGACAAGAATCAATAAAGGTAACCCCTTGGTAGCACCTCCTTTTTGATCAGCAAATAAGGACACATTCAAACTTGTCACTTACGAGACAAAGAACCCCTTAAAATCCCCTTGGTATCATCTCTATCACTCAGAATGAAAGAAGTTAGAACCCAAAAATTGCAGTTATGCCCTTGGATAAGAAAGTGAGTTGGAATGCAGAAGACACATGAAAATAACAGCAAAGTATCTTAAAAACAGGCATCTGTGCTGAATAAAACCAGAAATGTATATGGCATAAGAACTGAAACATCATCCCACATCAGGAAATCAAGTGAAACAATGAGAACTATATTTACATGCATTTAGCTTCAGAAAATCTGGATGCTACTTATTCCCATCCTGGATTCATGGAAATGCTGGAACTTAATTTTTTCCCAAGTCTGTTCACCTCCATACGTACAAGTGTATCTCAGAACACAACCTCTGAACAAACATATTCATACACTACATCACAATATCTTTCAATCTCATTAGCAACAGAACTCAGTACCCACCTAGAAATTGCTTCTGCAGGTAGATGTCATGTTTCTTACCAAAAATGCACTCGTGAGGAGGACTCTTATAAAAAAAATTCAGAATTGAGCAGTGGACAGAATCATGCATACAGGGTTCTATAGGTGTCTCCAACATGACGTCCTAGGCGATCTATCTGTTCGGCATTAAGAAAACCACAAGCTCTCTACAACACAACTCAAAGAGAACACATTAGCAAAATGCATGATATGTGAGACACACACCTCAGAAACAGTATCAGTCACATCTTTATGCATCCTAGATAGCGTACATATATAATTAGAAGGATGGTACATTGAACAAGTATGAACGTTTATGAATGGCAAGTACCTGAAGCTTATTCAAAGTTGAAGAAAGAGAGGTGAAGATCCAAAGAAGAAAGAAAGCATCCAAGATTGCTACAGGAAGAGATAGAAACAACATTGCCTTTCCTGAAAGATCACTGATGGCACCAGCATGTTCTGCTAGTTCAAGCACTTCTGATGCAGTAAAGAAGGTTGCTCCAAGCATGATAACCTTTGAAGTGAGACCACCAAGAGTTGGTCTTACAACACCATATCCCATAGAAACGGTAAGGATGATCATGCGTGAAACTGTTCGTTTCACTGTGCCAAAGGTGACTGCCCATACAGTAATCCCTGTTGGTCGTATCCCAATCTTATTAAATTCTGCATAATCAAAATACCATAAGGCCATCTCAAACATGCCCAGTGTTATAACTAATGTTATACAATTCTGCAATTGAAGAACCTCTTTCCAGAACCTTGCATACTGAGAAAACCAAAAGCTCCCAAGTATTAGAAATGCAAATGACATGAACCCATAGAATTTTGAAAGTGGTGCCATTCTACCCGGCAGGTAACCAGTAGGATTTTTCCATACAGTTTTCCCCTCTATGATCATATCATTTAGTCTTGGCTCACAATGCATGAAATACAGATTATACATCCCAGTTCTTGTAATCTCAATAGACCTTGGTTGCATAGTGGAAGTTTCCTCATTGACATCAAATGAGACGCCAAACACTTCAGGCCAACCAGGATTCTTTAAAGATTGGCGGTGAATAACTTCCCCTTCCTTGCATGCACCCAATTTTGCTAGATCTGCAGTACAGCAGATAGCTCTTTGGCCTCCATAGGCTGAGCCACCAATTGTCTCTCGATCATCCACGTCAAAAAGAACAGCATAGATCAAGCCTGTGCTGAAGTTTGAGACCACTTGAGGCCTTCGGAATATGATTCTCTCAATACTGGTTCCAAACGAAAGAAAAGAATAGAGATCAGAAATTTTATGCCATCTACAAAAGAAACTAATAAATATGGAAGACTCTGCATCAATCGAATAGTTCTTCCACGACTTGCTTCATTTCTTCTTCGATGGTAATTTCATAATTTTCTGAGTGCTTCATAATTATCTGGTTTCTAACAATCTTTACACTCTCAGCTTTCCATGTCTTACCACACCTGATATCTCTACTAGAAACAAAACTATTTTTGATGACTATATCTTTAACTTTGGTGCTCCTATTGGTCGTAATTGCAATGGAGTCTCGAAGCTTCCTTTAAATTCTACCAATTCTGCTGATACTAATCTTAAAACAACGATATAGACCAAAAGATGTAAATGAATACTAATCAAATTGACAGACAAGGATTCAGTTGTTCTTCACATTTAACTTCTCATAGTAAATGTAACAAAACCGAAGCTCAACGTTCTACTAAACAAATTGAAACGACATGTATATCTCATATCATGAGATCATGATCATGATCATGATCAACAACTAAAACTGCATTTATTTCTCAAGTCCATTTCGCGAGAACACCAGTCACAACTGACAAAAAGTAACAACACGAAGTAAAATAATTAATCAAGTAAGATGAAGTGAAGTTACCGAATATAAGCATCGCCATTGGCGGTGGCGGAAGATTGATGGAGGTTAGGACGAGAATAATAAATTCCTTCACTACCTCCATGAAGTACAAATGCATTTCCCTTTCTGGTGAATTTGTCTCCGGCGTACTCATGAACCGAAGCTTCAATGCATAAAACCCTAACAACGAGTAGCAAGAATATGGCAACCGTGGAGGAATCCATGAAAGGCAACGGAGAGAGATAGATCTGGTCCAGATGAAGTGTAACCGAGTGGGAAGACGTAGACAAGTGAAGATGCGTCAAGTAACCGACAAACTCCAATTTCGTTACAGAAAAGGGGTTTATTTATTTTTCCTTCCAAATATTATTTTAATTAATTTAAATGAAAATAAGTTATGTTTTTCTAGAGATATTAATTTCTATCGAGTATATAAAATAATATTTATTCAAAAAGAAATATAAAATAATAAAAAGGAAAAGAATGCATTGACCACCCACCTACACCAACAACAAATAAAATGATTTTTATATTAGATATCAATCATACAGATCGTTTTTTATTTGTGAATGTATAATTTAACTCAATTTTAATTAAAAAAAGTGTTGAAACAAATTGTGTGAAAAAGTCACGTATTTTAATTCGATTCTTATTTTATGTGACGTATATTCCAAACTTTCATTTTGATATTTAAAATGTAAAGTTTTAAATATTTAAGTACCCAGATAACCGGTTGAATGTTGATGTGGCGAGTGATGTGATATCAAACTCAGTATTATTTGCTATGCAACCCAATTTCATCCCATCACCTTGTAACATCAACATGATAACCGGTTAATGCTTCAATCGGTTACCCGAGTACTTAAATGTTTAAAGCTTTACATCTTATGTACCAAAATGAAGTTTTAAAAATACGTTATCCAAAATAGATATGAAGTCAAAGTACGTTACTTTTTCTTGCAATTTACCCAAAATGATGTATATAACTTTTACCATTTAAGATATTGACATTTGGTAAATTTCGTGTATGTCAAAAAAAAAATAGTTTTTATTAAGGATATTGCTAAATTTCGTGTAAATCTTTTATTTTTTCTAAAAGAAAGTTAAGACGGTGTTTGGGATTGCTTATAAAAATAACTTATCGACATATTTCATTGTAACATCGGTAATAAGCACTTTTGAGTGTCTGAATAAATGGCTTATACCGATACCAAACAGGTAATAAAAAGTTTTTGAAATTAATAATCATTCATATATTAACGAGATTGAGAGTAGGGGAGAGCCTCGGGCGGGTTCGCATGCCCAAATATAAAACCTAATAGGATTACGGGTCTGATAAGACATAAACCAAACCCGAACTCAATTGGTGTATATGCATCAACAAATATACAAGTTATTACGGTTTTACAGAAATACACAACTCATTTCCCAAACGTTCTTGATATGTCTATTCCATCTAATTAGACTTCTGTTCTCAGATACATTCCATCCCTTAGTTTTTTTTTTTACTTTTAGTACAACACATAGATTGGTACAACTTGCATACAATCATGCAACATAAACCTCTATCATATTTGCATACATACCAAACTATACCTTTCATACAGTAAGATACAGGTTACAACACGGTACAGATGACTTCACCCAACACAACTCAATAGTGGCACACACTCATCATAACCACTAGAATCCCGACATTTGACACCACACCGAACTTCTACCCAGTAAACGCTTACCGATCAAAATTCAACACTTTCACTTAACTTATCATGTACGATTTTAATCTATTAAAACGACATCATATGCCAAAAAAAATTGTCTGGCAACCGCATATTGGATACAAGTCATCACTCTCACTTACCAGTTCTAGTGATCGTTTTCAGCAGTTAAAGATTCTCAATCTTTATCATGTTCATTCGATAAAGTAAAATGACACAGTAAGCAATTGCCAGGTAAGTATTTAGTAAACGACCCCTACCTGATAACAGTAATTCTTTTAGTTTCTGAAATTGGGTGTGTTACATTATATCACACAAATTAGGAAACATGAATGCAAACAATGGCAACTACTGAAACACAGAAGCTTGGATGTTTTATCTACTCAAGATGTTACACATAAACTATGCAATTTAAAATAAAGATCAAACAGATAGTAATTCACCAACTCGAAATTGCCAGCATCCACCACCCGCGATAATATTTGCGGAAGACATGGCATCATGACATTATAACCCGACAAATTTTCCTTAGTCCATATCAAGAAACTCCATCCTTTTTCTCATCGAACCCTTCAGATCCGTAGCCTCCCTTTCCACCTTCTGAGCCTGGATGAACCCCAGATAACCAACGGTTAGAAGCTTCAATCATTTCACATGTTGTCGAAAGTAAATCAAGAAAACAAGACAAATATAGAAGGAGGTTCATTTAGGAACCGTAAGGATGCGTTTGGTACACTGAGCAGGACAAGACAAGGATCACTGTTTCATGTTTGGCAGGACTTTCACTTAAATATTAATAATAAAAAGTGGAAACTACGTAAACTTTTTATTTTGGTGTCGGTATAATCGTCTTGAGGGAAACTTTCTAATGATATATTATGTTAATTTTATAACAATTTAATAATATATAAACCCTAAATATATAAAAAGATATTGGTCATTTTATCGGTACTGTTTTGTGCTATCATGTCTATATACCAAACACACCCTAAATCTTTTAGGATCCCAGAAACCATCATTTTTATGAGTATTCATGATGAATAATGTGATAAAATATTCAAAGATGAATACTCACAGTATAGATGATTCCTGGGTTCCCAAAATATTTAATGTTCCTAAATGAATCCGCCCCTATGGGCCATAAAACATGCAACACTTACCCTTTTTATCTCGGCTTCAGAAACACGAGTCATATGAGGGGGAAGTTCCTCCTTCTCCAATTCCTAACCATTTCATGTCCACATATATCAGAACGAAGAACAAAAACAAGATTTCTTTAATTAAAATCATGGTTTTGAAACAAAACGTCATACCAGCTCGCCAATTAAAACGACATTCTCGCCACGGATTACATATAGACCTAACGGGATGTCACAATAAAGATCACCAACGATTACTCGCTCACAAGCACCTTCAAGGACAGCATTGGCTACATGTGACCACACAACCATTTCTCAATACTCTTACTACCAAAACAATTTGCAGTAGATTAAAAGTGTGACAATTAGCGAGAATTTTGGTACCAAATTGATCAAAAGATCGAAGTATCCCCAATAGCTTCCTACCATCTCTTAGCAATACAAGAAGTTTCTCTGTACAAAAAGGTAAAAGCGCTCATTAAAATCAACACCAATTATAAACAAGGAGAGAAAAGAGAGACCCCAGAAATGGAGCAAATTTAACATGTACAAGTTAAAGTCTTCGAGTCCCAAGCTTCATCAACCAACTCGTTAACAATCTCAATTCATATAAATACGAAAAACTTGAAACAAATTCGGATAGAATCAATAGATCCATTTGTCAAAGAAAACATAAAAGACTTTTCCAGAAGTACAATATTTTTGGGTTAAGTCCAGAAATTGTTTCAAGAGTATTTCATAGCAGGGCGGACCCACATGGAATGATACGATGGTACGGGCCACCGCTTCATGGTTCCATCATAAGGAAAAAGAATTACGTTTCTAAAGGTTGCCACCATATAGTTTTTGAAACGGAAATGTTAGCACAAGACTTTAATATCTAAGATGGTAAATGCTCCTGCCTTTGTACAAAAGTCCCAGATTTGAGTCTCATAGTTGTCAAAGTTGTTTTTAGCTTAAATTTTGTTGTGAAAAATAAAATTAGATACTTTTTTATAGTCAACTTGTGCCACCAACTGAAAACTTTTCTGGGTCCGCCTATGTTTCACAGATAGGATGTGTTTCAATTTCACTGCTTAATTGGGCCAGTTAAATCTTTCGGACCATGTAACAGGGGATTCACAGGGTTTACCAGTCAATGAAAGACTAAAAACCAGTTTTCTATATATAGGATTCAATAAGAATTCACATCTTTTGGACCAGTAGCTAATGACAACAGCATGTTGGAACACTTCAAATGATATACCTTTATCAGAAGTAATGCATTTGCTTCTCAAATTACACCTAAAACAGTAAATTGGTTAATGTTGAAAATGTAATGTTAGATGGAATACAAGTTTTCCGGTATTAGTAGCACGATCATTCCTCTATTCCATCACAGTATCAGGTTTCATAACCACTTTTCTAAACATCTCCGATCAACCATACCAGATATTGTCCGCTTTATCCACACCTTGACTCAACCGATCTGGGATCTCACAATCAAAGCGAAGAATATATGGTACGGTTGACCAGAGATGTTACAACTATGTATAAAATGTTTCTTGCAACTACATGTTTTTCTTACTGATCAACAACACCACATAATCCATTCTTTTGATAATAAATTTATCAATAGACATCTCTTATCCAAATATGCACAAATACACAATGCAATCGGCTTCTATTAACACAATCAGTAACTATTGATGGATGAAATCTTTCTCTGTTTTTAAAAGAATAATAGCATTAAATACTCAGTCATATTCATGGAAACTATTGTCTATATACTATAGTTCCCTTAAATCATTCCCAGGTTCCCTAGACCAAATTCACAGATGAGATTGGTATCTTGTTACAAGGAAAGGACCCTTTTACCAAAAGCTTACCAGGCAACTTACCTTATCGGCAGGGGCGGACCCACTATGGTGGGTACGGTGGCACAGGCCACTTTCGTTCCTCCATCGTAGTGCAAAAATAATTAGGATTGTGAAAGGTGCAACCGTATTATTTGTTGGGTGCAAGAGTTAATTCCCTGAAATTACAGTGAGAACACAAGTTTCTTTTGGTAATGTTGATTTGCATGGTTATATCTCCTCTTCCAGGTACGGGTTCGAATCCTATTTGCATTATTTTCTTATTTTTTAGCTTTTACTGTCAGGTTTATTATGTTTCTGAAAATGTTTGGGATAAGAGACTCGAACAAAGGACCTCACACACAAAGAGCAAAGAACTAACCAACCGATTATGACTTTGTAGAAAAAATATCCATAGATTTGTCTTTTATAATCAATGGTGCCACCACTTGAACAAATTTCTAGGTCTGCCTCTCCTTACCGAATTAACATGAGTACGTGACAAAAGTCGAGAATCTTATCCGGTAAGAGGCAAGTTAACAGACGAGAGTCTTACACGGTAAGTGAGGGAGACGACTCTTAGTGGTAAGAGCTTACCAAGTAAGATTGCTGCATACGATGCAATTTGATGGCCAAAAATCTTACCCGGTAAGATTAGTAAGAGTGATGACTCTTACCTGCAAGCGTTTTGGTGAAAGACCCCTAAATTAGACAGAAAAAACCAATTCCCACCACCATAATCTGATAATACATCACCCCGATATACACAACTAAGCATATTATAATTATGTCCTTCACAACACATTCCATATACAAGGTTTAGCAATAAAATTGTATATATATACACCCCCAAAATAATATCAAAATTCATTCTGAACTAGAATGAACCCCAATCCATTCAACTAACAGCATACAAAACAATAGAAATGAAAGAAATAATGCTATTTAAATGCTTTAGAACAATCCAGTACCTATATACGTTCTTACATAGCATCAGCAATTTCCATAGCAGTTAAAACCCCATAAAAATGTACCACGAAAGAAAGAAAACATCCAACAGGATGAAATCAAAGCCATGTAAGTTTGATTGTTTAAAGTAAACGAAGATCAGAAGCTTACTGTCAAGATAACTTGCAAGAGAAGTAGACAAATAGATATCTTCCGGTCCCGCCCACGACATTGAACTGAAACTTTTCGGTATGTGAAAAATCACCGAAAAATTCTTCGAATAAATAAACAAATTTGCATTGGCAGTAGACAACCCTAACCTCCTACCACTAGAATTCTCCTATTTTCAGTGACGAAACACCAAAATTAAAAACCCTAGTCAAATCAGCTGAACTACTAAATCGAGGATTGAAATAGCAAAAAACCTTAGAATTAACCCCCAATTTCGAACTCAACACACACTCTCGTAATGGAAAAACGTCAACAAAGAGTGATAGATGATTCTTCTTCTTCTTCTTCTTTCAGATCTATCTATAAACCCTAAATTAACTATCCCCAAATCTGGGGGCGTTTGGAAGATATGAGGCGATTGGGAGGGGAGGTGATGTGCTGACCCCCGTGGAGTTTTAATATTTTTGTGAACTGATTAACTGGAGTCTTTTTGTTAGATTATTTTATATTTGGCCCTTCAAGATATCAAGTATTCTAAATTCAGTCCCTCTATTTATAAGAATGACACATGGTCCTTGAATTAGTCATTTCTTATTGAATTTGAAAAAGGGATAAAAATTTATAAACAATAATTAAAATAATTATAATTTGTTATTCCTTATTGATTTCATTCACATAATTATACAAACGGTTAATTGTTGACAACTTCAATCAGTCTTGTATAAAACCCGTCTTTAATGAGAGTGATGTCAGATGACATGTTTTTGGCACTTAATGAAAGTGTCTTGATCAAACCCGGGACATGTCTTATATTTAAAAAATATTGTTTCGCTCATGTTTGCTTTTAAATTTTTTTAAAATAAATTGTAATATTTAAATGAATTTATTTACATATTTTTATTTTTTGAAAAAATCTATATGAGAGAGTATGTTAACTAGTCATAAATCATTAATTACACTTATGGTTCGTTTACTAAACACTTATCCGGTAAGTATTTAACGGTAAAATTCAACACTATCATTTATTTACCGAGTAAGATTTTAGTCAACAAAAACGGCTTTTGATGCAACAATTTGCTCCGTAAAAGCTAACTGTGGTAAGAGTCATTGTCCTCACTTATAAGGTAAGACTGTCGGTAAGCAAAGATAAACTTCTTTGTCCTTGTTATATTTATCTGGTAAAGTAATATAACTTGGTAAACATTTACCTGAGTAAGCAATTAGTAAACAACCCCTTATACACATGTAGAAAATAACCGAGAACTATTTAATCATAGATAAAGAAGCAATTATTATATTAATTCAATTAACATTTGAAGGTTGAAAGCTAAGAAATTAAAAACCATATCTTCAAAATCAATTAACATGTGAAAAGGTTTATTGCATTAAAAGGACCACAAGTAGTAGGAATGGTTCAACAAGAATAATTTATATTATGAAAACGTAAAAACATCCTTTAATTAATACTTTATCATATAGTGATCTTTGGTATGACTTGCATCGTTATATATTATCACATGTGATAAGAGTGTTTTTATGTTTTCATAAAATTCAAATATTTTCGTTCTAACCGCTACGTATCTATAATTCAACCCCGACATATTACCATAGTGATCTTTGGTATGACTTCCATCGTTGTATATTATCACATGTGATAAGAGTGTTTTTACGTTTTCGTAAAATTCAAATATTTTCGTTAGAACCGTTATGTATCTATAATTCAATCCCGACATATTACCATTTTATCTAAAAATAAGAAATAAAAAGAGAAACTAAATAAATATATAGAGAGAGGTTTAGAGGAAACCCTAAAAAAATTATTGAACTGAACAATATTCATATGTGCATTTTGGATTTTATGCACGTGTGCATATTATACAAATGTGCATATCAGACAAATTGCTTACAAGTTATTTGTATGCACATGTGCACACCATTTAAATGAACGGTAAACAAGTTGTTTATCAGTTTTTCATTTTTTATGGTTTTTCTTTTAACCTGACCCTAAATTAATATTAAATAACCACAAAAGTGATGCCTGAGGTCTCATGTTCAAATCCGATGAGAAATAAAAATCTCCTTATAACCATAGAGGTTCAAATACGGTGACTTCGAACCACCCGCAAAGCAGGTTGTCGTCCTGAAATTAATCGACCCACATAACGAGTTGGATATTCAAGTTAATCATTCATATATATATATATATATATATATATATATATATATATATAAAATAAGGTGTGAGAAATTGATTCATGAGACAAGGAGACAATGCAGATGTGTTTTACATGATATCCTCAATTACAATTCACAACCCATATTTTAAAAATAAGTGTGGTTGTACAAGAAATGTGAATATCAATGTCTAACCTTTTTCATCCAGAGAATATATATATAACATATTGAACCCATAAACATGCAAAAAGAAAAGAAGAAAAACAAGATGTGCCCCTGATTGAGATGGAATTGTTGATTTCCAAATCCAATCATCCCTGCCTCTCTCTTATTTTGCTAATGTGGGTGAGATATCAAACAAGGCAGAGGCAACCATACCATGCAACTCTCAATGTGGTTGTTGGGAGAGACATGTACAAAATATGTGCTTGCTTCATTTGCAGAGATCCAGTTTTCATATCTCTAACACAATATCTGAAATTTGAAACAAATTATCAGTACCTTTTTTGGTTTTGGTAAATCTTAAAAAAAATTAGAAAATCTCAATAAACTTTTTCATTTTAAACGATTAACGGGTCATTTACCAAACGTTTATCCGGATAGCCGCTTACTAAGTCACATTACCTTACCGGATGAATATGGCAAAAATCTTATTCGGTAAGAGCGAAACAAGGACCAAGAGTCTTACCCGGTAATTGAGGTACCCGGTAATTGAGGGCGACGTCTATTACCATGGTAAGCACTTACCAAGTAAATTGTTGCATATGATGCCGTTTTGGTGGACTAAAATCTTACCTAATACGTAAATGATAGTGTTGAAGTTTAGCGGCTGGTATGCACTCAGTAAACGGGCCCTTATTCTCACACAATCCCAGTTCCCAGGTCTATAATGACTAAGGAGCCGTTTCCAAATGATTGTTGGATGTAGGTAACCAATTTTTATTAGTTCAATGATTTATTTATATATAAAAAATCATGGATTTAAATTTATTGGTTTTTTAAAAGAATTTTTCATAAAAAAAGCAAAACTTTGATTGAACTTACATTCAGAATCGGTTTTCACCCATTTACACCCACCATTTGCATCTTCCTCATCCTTTCTTTCTGTTGCTTTTCCTTTCCCTTTCTTCGGTTCGATTAATTTCCTGGCAGATGATGCTCGAGAAGAATTCTGAGGGTTGATCTTATTCTTAAGCATTGCCCTTAATAGCTGCACTTCACAGAATTTAATTTACTCAAAAGATATTCATCAATGAATAAACTGTGTATTCTTTTAGAAAAATTACGAAAAATATGGTTGGGTTCAGCTTAAAACCACGAAAAAAAGGAAAACTAATGAATACTCTGATAAACCATTCAGTTGTCCGGTATGAAACAAGTGCATAAAAATAATTATCCGGTATTCACATGTACATAAAATTCGCATGAGCATAAAAACCAGAAAATATTTTTGGTTACTTTTATGCACATGTTGATGATGACGAATGAATGGTTATGAGAGTGTTGCTTAATTTTTCATTTTTTTTAATGGTTTTCCCTTGAACCCGAGTCAGGAACAACAATTAAGTTTACCCTCTCCATGCGGGATTCCGGAAGTCGATCTTGCAAGCTAGGAATTGGCGGGAGACCGCTACTACATACGAACATTTTCTTCAAGAGGAAGGAAATCGATTTTTTCCCGATTGCTTTCTTACTATTATCCAAGCAAATATCTTTGCATCTTCCAAGAATCACTCGAATTGTTCGATCAATATCTTCATCTTTATCGTCTGGATTGTTGAAAACGGTGGTCGAAAGTCTCCGATCAACTTCTAAGCTCGACGGGCAATTAAGAAATCTATCCAATGGGAGATCAGCAGTGATTTCTCCTTGCTTATTAGCAGCAGGTTTCTTGGACAAGAGTTTTGTTAACTCTTTCTGTAGTTTTCCGATCTCTTCAGGAGTGAATTCAGATAGATCCGGAGAAGATGACGCGGTACCGTTGGCATCTTGGATCTCTTCGTTTTCTCTTGGTAGATCGTTGTTTCCAAAAGTTCCGATTGCCAGCAACCGATGAGGCCAATCGCTCAATTCTTCTTTCCGAGGTTCTTGGTTCGTGTGATCTAAACAATGGGATATGAATATAGATTATTTCTTGTTCAACATGAGTGAAAAACAGGTCCATTTTCTTAACATTTTTGGATGCTTAAGTTCAGATAATTACCAAAATCAAAGGTACAATATTCAATGAAAATATATATATATATATATATATATATATATATATATGCAACAAAGATCAAGAACACGTTGTATGTAGTAAAAGACCAAAAACATTCGAACACCTGATTTGTAGCTAGAGAAACTTGTCTTTTCTTTCTTCTTCTGGAAATGGGTGATTCCAGACTAATCCCATGACATTTTGCGACTGTAGGCTTTTGTAAGATCCCACATCAGACGAAAAGGGGAACAAAGATTGTCTTGTAAGAAACTGGACACCTCTATCATATGCCCATGAGTCCAGGTGTGGACAAAACGGACAATATCTTGTACGGTTAGCCTGGGATGTTATAGCTTCGCCCACAGCTCTGAGATAAATATCCCGGTGGCCACAAGTCCATATGTAGATGGGGGACGAAGCCTCCGTGTTCTGTTTTTCTTTAATATTAAGACAAATACTCATCATAAAGATGATGTTTCTATGATATTAGAGTTCTGTTTTTCTTTAATATTAAGACAAATACTCATCATAAAGATGATGTTTCTATGATATTAGAGTTCTGTTTTTCTTTAATATTAAGACAAATACTCATCATAAAGATGATGTTTCTATGATATTAGAGACGAATAATTGTGTGAGAATGAAAGTTATATTGAGAAGCGTAAGAAGGGACATGGACCCTTGATCACTTTTCATTACTACCATCCATGAATTGCGCTTATCACGGGAATTGATCCGGTGCATCTCGGTGCACCGCATTAATTAGGATTAATCGAAGGGTGGAGATCCCTTCGTAGCCTTCTTACCATAACTTCCATTCTCACAAAAACCCAACCCTTATATTAGATTGGATCTAGCCATTAGGGAGTAATTTACATAATGCATTACTTTTCTTCATTTGATATATAAACTTACAGACCTCAATGACAACAAACAAAAGTGACCGTCTGTTTCTCATTAAAAGAGAGATAAATGTGTATTTTTTTCTCTCTACATATGGAATAGTCAGGAAGAAGCTAGATAAGGAAAGAACTGAATCAATTAAGCATCCTTCAAACAATTCCATCATATATTATAGAAGGTAAAGAAACAGAAATAGAAAGGGTACATACGAGTAGTGGAGACGGCTGTATTCGAGTTTTTATTCCCTTGTCCACCACCAAATTTACTTTGCATCCAATTGAAGAACTGCAGCCAAAAAGATATCACAAACCTTAACTTTCATAAGGAACCATATGTAGTAAATTATGTACAAAAACTGCAAAAAAACACATCATCTTACCTTCATTTTGATAAGATTGGGGCAGCAGGTGGCGGGGGCAGCGGTCGTGGTGGTGGTGGTTGGTTCTCTAAATTAAGTCTTGAGATGATTGGAAGAAGATCCTAGAAGCCAATGAGAGTTGGGAGTTTAGCATGAATAAAGAAAGAAAGAGGAGGAGCAGAAGAATCTCCCAGTGTACATGTTATAAAACACAGGTAGCGCATGATGTAACTTCTGCTTAAAACCTCCCAGTATGCTTAATTAACAGCTGATAGGTACAAGTATCCAAAAAACAGCAATTTGGCAACTCTCATTCACTCCTATTCATTTGTGAATAAAATCATTCCATCGTATGTTATCTCAGCCTTTCTTTATGTTTTAAAAGAAGAGGCTTTAATGAATGATGATATTTCCCCAGTATTCCATGCATAAAGAAATACTTTTACTAATATAATAATCCATTCATGTTTCCTTGTAATAATACATTCCCAACAACGTCTAGTGCAGAGGTTGAGGGTGCACACGTGGCACCATTTCACTCCATTGGATCCATCTTGGCACCAAAGCCGACATGGGGTTATGTGCTAATTACCTTCGAATTTTTCTTCATTAATTTTGCGAAATATGGGTAACCCCAGACTTTCTAAAGAGAGCTCGAGATTATAGAGATTTTAACATATATTAAAGAGAAATGATCCATGTCTAGCCACTCTAATACACGTCCGCCAAGAGACTAGACGGACAAAGATAGTCCAAAGTATCAAGAGGGGTCTAGCACAGATTGTCCAGAATGATAGATATTGATTTTGATACCATGTGATATGATACCATGTGAGAATATGTAAAACCCATCAGAGTAGAGAGCTATTGAAAAAAGAAGAAAGGTTCCAACATATATACAGAAGAAAGAAATGGTCTATGTCTAGCCACTCTAATACGCCCCCACCAAGAGGCTAGACGGGCAAAGATAGTCCTAAAGTATCATGAGAGGGTTTGATAAGTAAAGATTACCCTAGAATGTCGAGTTCCAAGAATGATAGGCCTTGACTTTAACACCATGTGAGAATATGTGGAACCCCATCAGAGTAGATAGCCATTGAAAAGAGAAGAGAGGTTTCAACATATATGTTCGAGAAATGGTCCATGTCTAGCCACTCTAATACCTTTCTTTCTTTTTCCAACGAAAACCAAAAACATCTTGATTTATTTTTTCAACACTAAGTAAATACGGTCGATTTTCCTCTACTTTTAGAGAGAATATTCATTGTAACGGTGAATCATGTTACTTTGCCAACATCATACAACCAACAAAACGAAAGAGACCAACATGATAAGATGATGCTCATTTCTCACCTTTTTTGGTGTGTGATCGTTCATGAATGAGAGTGACACATTGTTATTTTCATAAAATTTGACGGGTTTCTAGGTCCAACCGTTGTAGTGAATGTACGTTTTCTTCCGTTGTGACGTCCCTGTGCCTACTCTCAAGAACTCATGATTTAAAGGATTGTCATTATCAATAGTGAAAAAAAGCCTTCCGACAACCATCAAATTACAAAAGGTATCAAAGATTCGGAAAATATCAATGTCTACCAGCTCAATTATCATGTTATGATCTATCCTTTCCATGAATCTGCCAATAATTAGAATACAAAATGTAACTGTTGCATTCATCTAATGACAAATAGAATATGTACTTTCAACACGAGTATGAATAGTGTAATTTTTATTGCATGAGTTACAAACTACTATAATACAAAAAAAACTAACACTAGATTTCATAACTTTTAGACATTAAATAGTATCGACCGTAAACTTTACAAAATATTACACAATTCCTATGCAACAAAGAAGAAATGGTTGTTTCAGTGAAGATCTCTTAGTTGTGCATGGAAAGAACATCCGAGAAGGAAAAAAAAATAGGCACATTGTGACATAGAAAAGCACGTATCCCTCCAACTACTCATGTATTCTATATGTCGGCTTTCTATCCTCCTATGTCCTATCCTCTTAACTCTTTTCTTCCCATCCACATTAGCTACTGACCCCTACGCCTAGTCTACCATCATAATTCTATGTCTGTAAAACTCCTAAAAAAAATTGTCCATGAAAACGTCTAAGACCCATATCCGTCCTCAGTTGCTCATCTCACAGCCTTCTCGACCTGGCTCCTCATAACATATTGATCCATTCTTTGTAGTTCATTGGATTTGAGTTGTGACGACAAGCCAAGTTGGGCAAATTCCACTCCATGTTTGCACTCAATTACACTTCTCTAAAATATATAAATGTCCAGTATGATTATATTTAAAATTGTTGAAACTGTAGAAAGAAATTCTATTTAATGAAAAACATGAAATCCATAGTAATAAACAACAAAATTAATTTTCCTGTTCGAGTCGTTTGGGTTTTCTCCTCATAGGGCAATGGACCGAGTCCTCCAAGGCTCCTGGTGATGTTCATGACTAATCTCTAAGATCGTGGGATTAGTTAAAATGCATGCTAGCCGGTCCGGGACATCCATGAATAAAAGTTAAATTCAAAACAATGAAAATACTAAATTAAAATGTTTAAAGAAACTATATTCTATTCAATGGCCAAAAGTTTAATGTGTAGTAATTGTTAGTTATAATATAGATTATGCAAAAACTATGAATCCAAAGTCAAATGTTTGTTAATGTAATTAATAAAATGTGTGTTAATAAGAGTTGATATGTATGGCTAGCAAACAACCATGAAAGTACTTGCTCCGACCAACACGTGGACCAACAGCTCGAATCCCGTAAAAGAAAATGGTCTCCTACTAGTAGCAGCGTGCCATATAATTTAAAGTAAACCTTCTATCTTTTTTGACTGTCTTGTTTGATTGTAACAAATAAATAAAACTGATACAGTAAACGCCAAGTAATTCCATTTCATTATTTATATATTTGTTCTAAAATAAATATCTATAATAATATATAGTTTTAAGGATATATGATCATTATAGTTTTTAATTAATAGAACAAATTTACTCTTAATTACAAAGAGAGAAAAAAATTTAATCTCATATATTATAAAGTGGATATTTATTTTGGGACAAATTAAGATAGTAATGTAGATATTTATTTTTTATAGATATGAAAATAATTGTTTACACCATTTATTTAGTAAGCATGAAAAGATGACAACAATAAATTAAGCTAGCAAATACAAATTTATAGTATAACTTTGCATAACTTAATAAAATTATCAAAAACTTCATTTATAAGAGCAAAAACAAAAATCAAACGAAATACAAGATGAAAAGAATTTAAAACAATGCTATTTTCTCAGACAGCTTATATACAAAAATATATATTTTATATTTATTTCATTGATTATCTTTCAACAATAATTTTAAGAAGAAACAATAACCATCAATAGAGATATTGATTCATCTTTTTAATTATATATTAAGCATATCAAATTCTTTTAATTTTAATTGAATTAATTAGTGTTAATACTTAGTTTAGAACAAGAAGAAAAGAAAATGATAATTCGAAGTAAAAAATATTAATTGCCTTGTTAATAATTAAAATTATTAATAATTAATAATTTTGGTAAACAATATGATTAAAAGTATACAAAAAAAATTCCCAACTTGGGAAGAGAGAGAATATCCATTCAATTGAAATTGAGCTTCTGTCGTCCCAACATATAAAAAATATTTTTAGTTAGAAAATCAAAATAAAAATGAAAATTATAGACTTAACGCTTTTCTAATTTTCATAAAACATCTAGCATATTAATTATATATGAAAAAGGCCATAATCGATGCAATGTTAAAGTTAGAATCATTTACCAAACACTTGTCTTGTAAGCGCTTAAGGTGTGCTACCTAATATTATCCGATAAGATGTATAGTAAGGATTGATGATCTTACCGGTAAGTGGTTACCTATAAACATGACAATGCCTGAGAATATTATCTGATAAGAGGCATAGTCTGGACCAATGATCATACCGGATAAGTAAAGAAGAAGACTCTTACCTGATAAGTAACTATCGAGTAAAAGATGTTTACGAACAATCCATTTTATGCCGAAAATATTACTAATAAAGTAAATGAGAATGATGATGTTTGGTAACCAAATGGACAAATATTAAAAAACTATAGTGGTAAATAAACCATAAATATGATGGTAGATTAAAAAAAACATAAATATGCTGTAAGATCTCAAAAAGATATTAGTAATAATCCATATGTATACTTGAACGGGTGAATTATATAATAGCATTTTTAATTATATCAATAAACATCCATAAGATCTCGTTAGTACGATTTACAAGTACTTTTCTCAAGATTTCATGAATGCAATATTACTATCTCTTTCTCTATACATATATATGTATATATCAATATGATAGATACATTTATACACTTTCCCTACTAGGCTTGGGAATACGGCAGGGATCCCAATCCTCGTACTCGATCCCAATATCCGTCCCCATCCCTGTCTTTGTACCCACCAGAGAATATGATCGTATCCTCATCCCAAGGGGGAATTAGGGATTTTTTTTTCTATGTTCATATTAGATATTTTAAATCAAATGTGTTAAACACTATACTCGATCAATAATAGTCTATATTTAAATCTCACATATTTCCAAAAATTTACTTTTACAAAATATCAAATATTCATATGTGAACAAAATCACAACACCATACATAATTGTTTGTTTGATCAAACGCTTTCGGCTTTCTATTTTTTTATCTTAAAAAGACAAGTAAAATATGCATCTAAGAAGAAAGATCAAAACACTATTTCTAAACCTAAAAAAATACTGTATATAATTCTTTATAAATACTATATTTAATAATATACAAAATATATTTAGTAATAAATACATAATATATTTAATATACGGGAATAAGACAGGGATCACGTTATCCGTCCCGTCCCCATCCTCACTCCCCGATTTTGCAGGAATCCAGCCTCTCGGAACGGGTACACAGGATTCTCTAATGTGACGGGTCTCATTCACATACTTATTCCGTATATTTGA